CCAGGATGTCCACATTACACATCCTAGGCAATGTTTCGGAGAGGGACAAAGTATTGTGCTTTTTGCATCCTGGGTGCAATTCAAGAATCTACCCTGGCAGAGAGACTGGTGGCATGTCTGTGAATACGCCAGGTTTCATAGAACATCATCAAGTGGCGAGCTGTGAAAAGGAGGAAGAGTCAGCCGGCTACCGATGACAAGAGAATTGAGATGACAGTGCGGAAGCAGAGTGGCACAAGGAGATCTCAGAAGTATTCAATACTTCTGAGATCTCCTTGTGCCACTCATATTTATTAGTGATGCTTTTAGCTTCGCATATGGAGGGCAAGTTTCCTCTTAAATGCCATATTAATTTGGGACAAAATATTTAACAGTGCTAAATAAAGGTTCTAGTACAAATAGCCAACGTTGTGGCCACAGGGTGGTGATGTGATTCAGAAAGTACTACTAAATGTTATGTGGGGAGAATGACAAATCACCCAAACTCAGAGTGTGCTCACTTAAAGAGGAACTTTACCCATATCTTTAAAATAACAACAAACACACCTTTGGAAATGTTTAGTAATGGCAATCTACAAACAGATACCTCTAGATAATTAAAGGCTTTTTATTCTTTGCATACCTTATTTCTCTTTTCTTTCCCAGTCTTCTGACAGTGGCCATCTTAACTAAGGGCAGGTACCTAGCTCTCGTTTTACTTCCTGGAACTCTGGCACATGTGACCATGCACATTATCTCAGGGGAGGAAAATGCCTTTCCCTGAGATCTCATGAGATTGAGATGAGATTTCCCATCAATGCTCTGCTGATGTAACCTTCCCAGGATGCAACACTTTGGCACATTACATAATTTGTGCCAGAAGTGGGCCAGGAAGTAGATGAACTCTATTTGTAAGTAAATTAAAAAAGGTTTGTCTAACTAATGAATGTAAGATGATTTTAAATCAGCATGCAGAGTTGATGATTTTTGATTCTCACACCACAGTTACACTTTTTTTTTGTTTGTTCTACTTGTCTACAATTCACTGAATAATGTGCATAATGGTTGAACATTTTACACAACGTCAAAAGAAATTCTGATTTACCGGGTAATCTTTATAGTTGTATCCACAAGTCTTGCAGCTTCCGTTTGAGCAGGAAGTGATTTTAGTCCATAAAGAGATAAGCAGAACAGCAATGCTGGTCAATCGCACAAACACACACCTAGAAGACACACTGATTCAGATCAAGGAAATAGAGGCAGGGGGTAGAAAAACAACTTTCCACTTCTGTCTGGCGTAACTATATCTTTCTGGGAAACAACTGCCAGTTACAAAAGAAGCTTTTGTATGGTTTAACCTTGCACTCAACAGGCAACAAAACATGAAGTCAGTCACAGAGAAGCAGTAAAATTAAGTCCTGTGAAATGTTGGTGGACAATGCTCACCATATAATGGCAAAATATGAAATATAAACTGCTGGACAATATCTGCACTTTGTCACGTTGCTAAATATCAGGCTGCAAAATCAGTAATAGATATATAACAGTAATGCAGTAACAGCAACAAATACACATGCTTTGGGAAATCTCCAGTAAAAATAAAGTAACCACCTTGTTTTCTGCCTTAATTTCATCCACGTCCTCCAAGGTATGCCTTATGTTTCATGACACCCAAGCAGGAAAAAAAAGCTAACCTGTTTTGTCATTTTAAACTTTCTAAATTATAAGTCTTGTCTAAAAGCAATCACCACAAGGTGTCTGCTAGTCTCTTTACCAGCACCTCTCTGAAACAAATTTTCCCTAAGGGCTCAGCTTTACTGACTTCAGCCCTGCTCACCCACCTTTTCCCCATCCAATGAGTGTCCTAAATGGTCAATGAGGCTCTCTTATTGGACAGTAGGATGGGAGGTTTGCAGGGCTAGGTCCTAAGTAAAAGAGTGAAACCAGGATCAGAGGGACACATACAGAAGGGTTTAACATGATTAACTATTAACAAAGGTTACAGCAGGCACCTTTCTGTGCCTTCTCGTAAGCTGGTCAAACATCAGCTTTAGGAAGAATTTTTATATATAAATAGTATAAACTTATTTAGCTAGTATAAACTAACTAAAAGGATCACTTTACGCTGCCGTTTACAATTTTTTATTTATGCTGCAGTGCATTTTCTTCATGTGCTACCTCTCACATAAAATTTCAGATGTCTTGAAAAAATGTCCAACATCAAAAAGACAAATGAAGAGCAGCACTGGTCTGCCAAGCTGAACTGCTTTAGCGAGTGACTAGTCCTAAAAATATGTGATACTTCAAGATAAAATGATGACCTAATTAGCTTTAACATAGCATGTAGGAAGTAACATACCTTATAAGCGTAAAGCGGATCTCAAAAGCTGGAGAATAGTCTTCATATTGTACTATGGTTTCAAAGATGAGTGGAGTGATAAAGTTGGCAATAGTAATGACAATGGATGGAAGATATTCTGTCAGAAGACTCAGGCTATCTGTTTTTTGAGTAATCTGAAAACACACCAATGATTTATACTTGGCCACATAACAGTACATATGCAGTGTACTCAAGTTATAGCAATGCTTTACAATATTTCTTTAAACTCATAGTGGCTTGCTTTAAAATAGGAAGGGCTTTTTAAAAGAAAATTCAACACATACTGGGGATAATATATAGTGGGGGATCAGCATATTAGATGGTGATAATCCTTTTAGCTAATTAACATTTCACCAAACAAACCCAGTACTTTTTTGTTTGTATGCACACACACTTTAAACAAGTGGGAACTTCTGACAGGGTTTTTAAGGCATGTATTAATTACACACTGTTTCAACCCTCAACAGACCAGTATGGCCAATGTATAGTGGGCAAAAGAAGTGTCTGCTGAACATAGAAGTCAATCAGACAAGACCAACATCAAATCAACCAATTTTTACCCGCTATTCTTTGTAGTCCCTGAGGTTTTTGTTACAGTTAGTATTTAGCTCAGTTATAATTACAGCACTACCTGTTAAAAAAAAACGTAGCATAAGGATAGCATCTAGGGTGTTGCTATACCCTGGCACCCAGGGCACGTGCCCCAGTTCTTCTACTGAGTGCCCTTTGCCATCATCCCAAGTATGATTCCTAATCATTTTGGTAATCCATTTTTACCACCACTAGTAACTACATTTTCCCCCTCACAACTCTTTAGAATAATGTTGGGTAAAGAATTATAGACATTAGTACATTTACGCAAACCTCACAATGTGTACAGTACTTCATTTTCGCTTAATGATTTTAGACTACTGATTGACAGTGATATATTTTATATGCACATCTCCTTATTTAGATAAATAATGTACTATACAATTGGCAATGTAATATACAATTAATGTATTTTTTTTCAGCAATATCCTACATTTGATTTGATTATGTTGCGTAATATGGAATGAGCACCAATTGTAACCACTTTGTTATACCATAAACCCTTCAATATCTTAGTCTAGGTGCCCAGGAACCTAGAAACACCCCTTATTGCCGTTAAGGGAAATGGCTAAAACTTCAATAGCATGGGTGGTATTTACTCTTACTGCACAGACAGTTCATATATTTCTTTATTCTGGAAAAGTCCTTGGACTAATAACCCCTAATCGAAATTTCTTTAACTTTTGGTACTACATCAAACTGATATGTTACATAAATGTAACACTTAAATGTAGCCCTTAAGTCTATGTGTAAAAGTCATAAATGCCCCCTAGTATATAACAAAAGCCACAATCATTCCTTCAACACAAGGGTAACTAGATATATTGCGCCTCCAGCAACAATAAAATTGAAGTACCGCTAAGAAGTGCTAATTGCCGTAAACTGGGTCTAGCCAGTATGTAAAAAAAAAAAAAAAGTATTCAAACATGATACTTTGTACAAATAAGGAAGTTTCTGTCAGGCAGACTGAAAACTACTAAGTAATGGAAGTTTTCTTTCAAAAGTTATAAACTTAGCAATATCAAGCAATCATGTATGTGTTGAGGAATTGTTTCACTATGGCATGCAGCTTCGAGTGAACAGCTGCTTTTTCAAACACAAAACACAGTGTGGTGCCTTATACTGGGCTTTTTGGACAGGGCTAAGTGCAAAGAAAAAAAAGGGAATGTGTTGCATACTGCAACCAATCGGAAGCCATTTTCCAAAATGCACTAGATACACAACAGCTGCAATCTGTGGGATTGCAATGAATAACAAAGCAATCCTCTCTAGTTGTACTGTAATTGGGGCCTGATGATCCAGGAAAAAACCTGTAAAGAATTTGATCTAGGACATCAAATAGACATTAAAACAATCGAGCCAATAAAGAGGTTGCTTTGATATAAATAACTTACAGAGCTTGTGTGTTCCTGTGAATAGCTTGTAGCCAAATATATTGCATAGAAGCAACCGCCCAATACTGAGATCACAATGATATTCAAAAACAAGCGCAAGAAATAGATTTTCATGGTTTCTCTCTGTGTCCGCTTCTCTTTCCTTTGACGTATTCTTTCTTCTGCCAAATCTGTCTGTAAAAACAACAATTATGCTATAGTGTAGTTCTATTTTGTGTCCTTAAACTGTTCTTTCTGAAGTGCAGACTGTCCACTACACTCATAATTAGAACATACAACCCCAAAAAAAGTTGGGGCACTGTAAAATCTACATAAAAACAGAATGCAATGATTTGCAAAACTCATAAACCCATATTTTATTCACGATAGAAAACATATCAAATGTTTAAACTGAGAAAATGTACCATTTAAAAAAATAAAATAAGGTAAATTTTGAAAATGATGCAGCAGCATGTCTCAAAAAAGTTGTGACAGGGCCATGTTTACCATGGTGTAGCATCCCCTCTTCTTTTCAACACGTAAACATCTGGTAACTGAGGAGACCAGTTGCTGGAGTTTTGAGAGAGGAATGCTGTCCCATTCTTGCCTAATATAGGATTCCAACTGCTCAAAAGTCAAACACATTAAAATAATGTAAAAAAAAGGCTAGAGATGGGCTTTAAATATGTAAAAAGCTAAGATTTTCTTTGTCTGCAAATTTTTTTTAATTTTACTTACTTACAAACATTCCTGTTCCAAACTCGGTATGGAACACGTTGTACGGAAAGCCC